TTGGCTTAGGTGGTGCTTTTTAGGCATTGGTCCAGCATTATGTGAGAGAAATAATTCAATCTCTGATATTACAGGCTGTGCATTTTTGTTCAATTACTATTTATTTAACTTATTTTACTTAATTATGACAGAGGCATACTTTGAATAGTCTGACATATTAAGTGAAATAATTCATGCGATTTAAATTGGGAATGTTAAATTTCAGTTAACCAGCTAATTGAGTAGAAGATGGAAACTTGGTTAGTCAGTAAGGGTAGGATGCTCACTATCCCGGCTGTGCCTCTGCCTTTTAAATGTAGCAAGAGCCGCCCATAGTTCTTACTACATTTAAAAAGCAAAACTGCTGCAGTTGGGACCCAGCTGTGCCTCTTCCTCCCCTTCCCCCCTGTGCCTGTGCCTCTGCCTCCCCTGCTGCCCAACTTCTGCTCTCCTCCCACCCCCTGCTGCCTCTGATACAGAGGCAGCAAGGGAGTGTGGAAGTGACTAGTTGAGGAATGACTTGACTACGTGATAAGCCTAGGCTTAGTGGGTAGCTGACTAGTTGCTTACATCCCTAATTTAAATGGCTTGACAACGGAATTTGTTATAGTTCTTAATCACTTCTGGTATTTGGGAGTCAGAGCTGACCGACTAGTTTTGAAAATGTGCTGATGCACAACAGCACATCAGACAGCATGTGAGGATTTTTATCAGTCAGATTTAGAGCTGAATCTCCAGCTGTTTTGCCTCAGCCTATAGTAGGTTTCCAACAGTAGGTGAAATTTACTGGGTTATTTGGACATAAGAAGGAGAGCTCAAGGTAAGCTTTCACCACTAACTCTAAAAACCACTGTGGCTTTCTGTAGTATGAAAGGTGAACATCTAATGAAAAACAAGTTACATATATGAACGCCTGCTGAATACTTGCACACTGTGGTGGACATCTAGCAGAGAAACAGGGTTATATTAGTCACTTTTTAAAGTGCTTTATCTTTGTATCTCAGTTCAGCACCATTCTTCCCTGTTTCCTTGAAAGAAATCTTTCTGGCTTTTCCTGGTTCAGGCTTGCATTCTGAGGTACCTTAAAGAAAATCATATAGTCCACATCTTACTGTCACATAGCAGCCCTGTCTACATCATTCTGGAATCTCTTTTGAGGTACATTTTTCAATGTGTAATTTCTCAGTCTAGTTTCTTATACTGCACTTATTACCTCAGTATAGGATTGACTTGGTATTTAAGCATGGAAGGATATCTTCAACAAACTAGGAAGTACCATGAATTATTCAGTGGGAAGAGGAGAAATTTGTGCTGAATGCTCCCAGTCTGAGTGAATGTCTTTAAACTCCTCAGATCTCTTCCATCCCTTAACTTCTGGGGTTCTATAACTCAATGGTGTGGAACTCCTTCACGCCTCAGAGTTGTTGAAGGGAGTATCAGTGGTTCGGCTCTAAGACATAGCTCAGGGGTGGGGAACCTTTTTTGGGTCAGGGGCCACTGACCCACAGAAAAATCAGTCGGGGCCACGCATAAGTGAGAAGCAAAGCAAAACAAAAAACAACTCTCACTGTCGTGGCCCCCAACTGAGAAGAAAGACACTCCTCACATTCCCCTCATACATCAGACCCTAGAGTGGGCCCTGGCTAGTAGATTTTGCGAGCTCCAACCCCATGGCGGGGAGCAGGGCTGAAGTGCTAGTACAGGCTCCCTAGTGTTAGGCGGAAGCCATGAGTCTCGGGGGCTGGATCCAGGCAAGCAGGGCACCACATGCAACCCCCCAGGCCCTGACAATCCCTACCCCTGGTGTAGCTGAACAAAGACCCACGTGCCTCTCCAGAACTCTTAGTTTGAGCAGACCCTTCTGAAGTGAAGCTTAGTCAAACAAGGCAGAAATGCAACAGTTGAACACAGGAGGAAAGAAGCTTAAGGTCTCCTCCTCTCTTCCTGTATTGCTAGTGAATTTGCTCGGTATGCGTAGGCTTGTGAGAGGCTTCACTGTGATCATGACCTGCTGCTTGCCCTGCTTCCCTCTCCTCGCTCCCCTCCCCCTTTTTTGAGAAAAAAGAAACTCAGGAAACTGGCTTGCAGCCAGTGGCTGGAGAGCTTCCGGGAATCTATCCCAGAATCCTTCTGGAACAGTGCGCCCCTTGACGCATGCGGCATTGTTCTGTAGAGTGGAGTTTTCATGAGGGAAAGACAGAGGCTAAAGGTGATCAACACTGTGTTCATGTGATCCCAGGATTGGTTTCTTTTCCACAGGCTTCAGCACTAATCTGCTTTCTTCTCTGGCATTAATTCTGCCAGGATGAGCAGGCCCATTGTAAACACTGGATAATAATCACTTGTCATATAGGAATGCTCTGAGACTTGGACCCTGCCTGATTCAGCAAGGTGCTTAAGCACATGCCTAACTTTTAAGCATATCAGCTGTTCTGTTGACCTTAATGGCAGTGTTCATGTGCTTGAAGTGAAGCTTGTACAAGAGCGTCTGCGGAATCAGGGTCTTAATTTAATTACAGGAAAATCCTGAAGCTCATAAGCATGTATTCTTCATGAAAACAAATTGTAGTATAAACCTAATTTGTTGCCCATTTATGCTGTTAGGGAGGCAGTAGAGAAGTGCAAAAACTGAAATGGTAAATGAAAGAGCTGGTTCTTACTTTAGTTTGCAGTCTTTCACTTTCAAAACCTTGCATCATACGAGTATAGCCAGAATTAGAAACACTGTAGGGGAAATTTTTTTTTTCATAGAAATGTTTCTATTTAATATTGTTTTACAAAACAGGTTATAACAAAATGTAAATTTGGGTGCCCCACCTATCAAATGCAACTCCAGTATTTCTAATGCACCCTGTGATGCTCTAACTTTGTGTAGGAGACAGTATTATTGCATCTGTCTTTGAGAGGATTTGTCCATCCTGGTCTCTAGATCCTCATTCTAGCTCTCATTCTGCTGTTGAGTCAGACTCATGGTTACAGCATCTCACTTGATCATCAAAACTGTAGCACTAGGTTACATTTAGCTGCCTGAAACACCTTTGCCTTTCTTCTGTCCTGGGGTCAAGGCTGTCTCCTTGATTATACACATCTAGTTCTGTACCAGCCAGAATAGGATTATGTAAAGATTTAGAATGAGAGGGCGAACGTGCTGTCTAAATGGAGCAGAATGCGAAGAGGTTGGGCTGGGTAAGTATTTCTTCTTTGGGCTTTTTAGATAGGACATGGGGTAATTTAGAGCTAGGGATCTCCTGAACTTTTTGGGGAAGAAAAAGCCAATAATGGATTTGTGCAGCCTCTTGTTTGGCTATATTTTCAGCCAGTGTGCTTTGGCTTTATGTGTATCTTTTTAAGGGAAAACATGCTCCTTTGGAGAGATGTCATTTCAGTTTCCTTTTCCATTGCTGCCACCCTTTTGTGGGAAGGTATGGATTTGTTGATAGCTGCATGCTTGAGTAGCAGATGGCACAAGTGTTGGACATTTTGTGTGTGTATGTACACCTTTATGTGGATCCCTTTTACCCGAAGAGAGGGATTAACTGGGTGAATAAGGTTAAATTCAGACTAAACTTTTAAATGGTAATTAAATTCAATGTGTGTCACATCTGTAAAGGCTTCACCTATGTTTATGCTACTGGAGAGGCAATTGGTACTGGGAAGATGGTCAATTGTTTTTTCCTCAAGAGAAACAAAAATTTCAGCATGAAGTGTCTCTTGTAAACAGTCATAGTTGTGGGGAGGAAAGGTTTCCTTGCTAATTCAGAAAACCATTTGGAAGAGGAGGTTGATTTTGAATGTGGCTCATTGAGTTTTTTGTTTGAATCTGAGGTTTGAGATGCTAGTCTCAGGACTGAATTGCTTCAGTAATACACCCTTCCTTTTTTTCCCTAACGCCATAAACTTTCCTTGGGAGATACAGCACAATTTATTGAAGGAATGTGATGCAGTTAAAATATACTAGATCAGCGGTTCTCAAACTTTTTGCGCTCCGGAGCCCTTTACATGTGTAAAAAATTTATGCAGAGCTCCAGTGGTCCACTGATTGTATGTGTTGTAACTATCTATGTTTCCAGTTTGTCAACCTCGCAGAGCCCCTGGAGATGTCTCGCGGCGCCCTGGGGCACCGTTTGAGAAACACTGTACTAGATAAAACTAAATCATTAAAAACATTGCCTTCCAACTTTTATTGAGTTGCAGCTTCTTTATTTTAGTCTTCTTTTTTCCCCCCCTTCTGTTGCTGTGTGAAGAACCCAGACAAACAGGAAAAACCAACTCCACTCAGAGTGCTGTGAAATGCACAAAGAAAACAAACCGTAGGGGAGAGGGGGAAGGGGACAGAGGAAAATATTTCCCTCTAATTTTTCATTTGTGGTTAAGCGTTACTAGAAAGAATAGGTAAAAACAATTTAGGGCAAAATGTGACCTTAAATTATCTATATTCATTTTATTATACTAGCCACTTTTGCACTGCTATCCAGATATGAATCTAAGAGCACTTGACAATCAGTAATGAATTAGGCTTCCTAAAACTGCTGAGAGTTCTGCAAAATGGTATTAGTATTTCCTGCTATGCAAGCTGAGGCACACGGAACTTGTTACATGTGAAAGGAGTTCTGTGGCAGTGAGAGGAACAGAATCTCTAGGTCTCTTAATGGCTTTGTCTAGTTGCCTAAATCGATGACTTCCATTCTTGCTTCTCCTTTGAGAAAAGATGTTCTTGGAGGTATAGTGTTGATAAGAACAAGGGTCTGGTGTACTGGGATTTTAACCCCACATCTGCCTTTGGCTTCCTGTGAGACCTTACGTAAATTTTACCAGCTTTATTTATCCTGGTTTTACAATTGGGTAAACTGAACTGGTTGGTGATAACTCCATCTTTGGGCTGTGCCGTTCTTTTAGGAACATAAAGGACTTGTAGATAATCTTATGAAAGGCATTACAGAAGTGCAAAACGTCTTTATTAACAATGATATTATGGAGCAAAATGTATTTCAACTACACTTTCTTTTTTCTTTTTATTTCAGGTTTCCTCTCAAAAAACCTACAAGGTAAGATAATGGGGTTTGGTTGTCTATCTTTATGCAAAAATGCCATCTTGAAGCTTGCAGTAATTTAAAAAAGCATATTTGGAAATTGTCTGTCGCTCACTGAAGTAAATCAAATGCACAGATTGATCTGTGTTATACAGAAGTTCAGACTAGATCGTCTCAGTGGTTCCTTCAGGTCTTGAAATCTGTTGAAAGGGAGCTGATGACATTTACAGTGCATGAATTGGTGTTGCCATGTGAAGTTTCTTTAGCATTTGCTCAGTTTATCTGGGATTTGAGATGGTCGACTCTAGGGCTATGTCTAGACTACAAGCCTCTTTTTCGAAAGTATCTTTTGAAAAAGCCTCATTCAAAAGAGAGCGTCTAGACTGCAACCACTTCTTTCAAAAAAGCGAGCCGCTTTTTCGAAAGAGAGCACCCAGACAGTCTGCATGCTCTTTCGAAAAAGCCCTGTTTGCATTCAAGAACACCTTTTTTCAAAAGAGTACTTTAAAAAAAAAAAAGACGTTCTTCCTCGTAAAATGGGGTTTACCGCAGTCAGAAAAAACAGTGTTCTTTCGATTTAATTTTGAAAGAAGGCGACGGCAGTCTAGACACAGGGGAAGTTGTTTTCAAAAAAACCCTGTAGTCTAGATACACCCTACTTTGGTGCGTGATTACATGCTCTTGTGGCACAAAGCCCCTTTTTTTTGTTTTGTTTTTTAAATCTTTCCTTCTGTCTCCATTTTAAAGTGAAACTTATAGGCAAGGTTTGGGGGGACTGGTGACGTTTGCATGCTCTTTTGCCCCTTGTAAATTATAAATTCATTTTTACAATGAAATTTGACAAGTTATTGCACCATCAGTAAGGTAGCTTAATTACTTTTAACACTCAAAGGTAAAAGGTTAAATGCACTTTTTACCTGAGAAAATTTCTTCTCCCCTTCAGAATTTGGTGTCTGTCTTTAACTCTTTAAATTAAATGTTGCTTAATGCTGACTCAGTATCTTTATTCTGTTTGGTTATTGAGGCTACCTGAAGCTTCTTTGTGAAGTTGTAGCTACAATTGATACTCCTGTGGTGAAGTGATCCAAAATCAGCTGCTTTTGTTTGACAGGCATGGCAGCATTCTGAGCAGAGAGACTCCAGCTGACAAGAAACAGAAGGTTGAACGCTGCAGTAGTACACACGACTTTGATCCTACAGGTAAAGCTTCAGAACTTCCCAGATGAGAGTGCAGCTTTTAAAAGTTATTGGGAATTGTAGGAAATGAGCTCTTATCGGAGTAATATTCAGCACCTGTTTTGTGTAGTGGGATTGCAAAGCTTTTCCAATATACTGAGACATGGCAGTGAAGGTGGGTTGACTGAATTTGGCATGACTTCGTACGTGATAGCTTTCACCTGCTCCAAAATAAATCTAGACTGGTAGTGCCATTAAATGACCTAAATTGTTTCTTATTTTTGAAAAACAAAATAAATAGCTCAAATGTTCAGGAAGCAAATATTTTAGCTTGTGGCTTGGCCTTACTTGTTGGAGATGTGGATATGTAAAAGTTGTGTGGTCACAGCAGCAACTGACTTTCAGTTCCAGTGAGTTTTTAACCTCTGCAACCTTAAGGAGGAAGCTTCACTTTCAAGCACTTGAATTGAAGTTTTATGTACAATTTTTGATGGACATGGTGTCCATTATTTCTTTTTCCTCCTCCTGTAAAGTCTAGAACCTCTTTGTCAACTTTAGAATCTAATGCTGTTTTGGGCACTGGACTGCATGCAAAGATTCTTTCATCTCCCACTAAACCACTAACTCCGTGACTGTTGTGTGTTCGTTAAACTGTCTGCCGGCTCTTGTGTGTAAGCCTACTGGCCCCCATGCAGTGTGCGTTTCTCATGTTTGTGCACTCTGATCCTGCTATTCCATAGGGGACTGTTCAACAGGTGAGAGAAGAATATGAAGTTTGTAGGCTGTGTGGCATGAAGGACATGTTCTTGCACAGAGTGGCTCAAGCTGTTTGCAAACTGGTGTAACTGTTCTGCCACTAGCTGTGGGGTTTCTTTCTGATGTGCAGAAAAAATACTTTAAAATGGGTTTCTGAAGTGTACTTTTTCTTGGGGGGGGGGCAGGGCGATAGAAGGAGGAATTGCATAAGTATGCAGTCTCTTTAGGGTTAGGTAAAATATTTTGATTTGGGATGAGTGAGAGAAGCTCACAGGATTTTGAACTTCAGGTTTAGAATTTGGCTGCCTGGAAAGCGAAGTAGATGATCCTGGGATCTTTTAATCCCAGTGCCCCCTTTGAGCCTTTTGAGGGCTCTTGTCTCCCCTCAGCAGTAAGGTATCTGTGATCTACTCTGATAGATGGATTCTTTTCTAGCCTCCATTACGCTCCTGCCTTTCTAAAGATGGATTCAAAGCATTGTGCACTTTTGTGTATGTAAGCTGTTTTATGATGAATGCCCGGAGGTCTGTACACCTCCAACACTTTTATCCAGAATAACTTTTTTTCTAGTTCACTTGTTAGCATAGGGGAGAACTTCAATTATTGCACTTTTGTCTTCTGTTATAGACCCTCACAGTGTGGGGTGATGTGTGTTGTTCACATTTGTTCCAAGTGTTATCACCTGTGTTGTTCTTACCCTATTTGTGTGTTGCATGACTTAACCTAATTGTAGAAATCATTCTGTTTTTTTTTCTTGAAGTTTTATTTTTCTCATGTTTGGTCTCCATATTTTCTATATCTCTTTCCTTTTCTCCTGCTCCTGTGCAGATAGCTCCTCCAAGAAGACAAAGTCTAGCTCGGAGGAGAGTAGATCCGAGACGTATGGTAAGCTAAAGCAGCCGCTGCAGCCTTGCATCTTTCCTATCTGCTCCATGCTTTTTGCCTGTGCACCCAAGGCCTTTGCCTTTTGCTTGCTCTGCATGGCTTGCTTTGCAGCAGGGAGAGGGAAGCTGGGTTTTTAATGTGATTTTAGGTGTGTCAGAGTGTAAGCACTGGATACTAACCCATGTATAGGAAGCACACACTGTCTTCCTTCCATATTACCTTGTCTTCTGTTACCAGTTGGGGAAACTTCCTGGAACTGCTGTGTTGGGAGAATCTATCACCAAATAATTATGGCAGTGTATAAACATGCTTAAGTAAGACTGGACTCTACAGAATTTTGGTGCCAATGGTTGACTGTCCACATCTTGTTTTAACCATGAAAGTTGAGCTGGCTGGGTTAGCACGGTTTTGTTTTGCAGATTTTTCCACTATCTCCATTTTTATGAAATGGAAAAACCATTTCACATCAATCCCATGCAAGGGATTGGCAAGGGACTGAGATATATAGACAGAGATAGTCAAAAGAATAAACACGTTTATTTAATTTTTGGGGGAGAATATTCACTCTACTTGCTTCATCCTGATAAGCTAGCATGGCTTGAACTCACATTTTGCGGCTCGCTTCCGTTCTGGGGGTCTTTAGGCTAGTGGAAATCAGCACATACCTGGTTTTCAGGAAAAGCTCACATCGTATTTCCCAGTTCACCCCCAGGATGTGCCACAATGAAGAATATTTTTCAAAGAATAGCCTGTGCTTGCTCATCTTCCTCTTTTAGCCTCCATCAAGAGTGCTTTTCTTTTTACTGTGGTATGACCGTGGCTTGCTTTTCCGGTAACACTCCAAAAGATGTGCAATCAGAAGGCAGGCTGGGCTTACAGCTGGTAAGCATCTCTGGATCCTATGGGGATGGTAGATGATCAATCAGTCATTGAGTTGGCTGAGTTTGTCTAGTGGACAATCTTCCAACTCTGAGAAGTGGACCAGCCTTTGGATCCTGCATGCTTCCAAGTGAACTGGAGCTGGGAAGAGCCCAGGCACAGTTGTCTCTAGAGAATATCTCTGGTGCAGAATCCATACCTGACACTCTTCCTTGGGACTTGGCTCTCCTGCAATGCAGTTGCCCTCGTCCCAGGACCAGTACTGAGATGTTGCAAACCTCAGAGTTGCTTGTGCATGCTTCCCTGAGTTCTCCTCCTGTGGCCGCTCTGATTTGTTGTTGAACTCTTTGGGGTCATATGGTAGCTGGAGTAAGGAACACAGGTTGTATGCAGGGGCTTTTTCCACATAACCTTGGGACTTGGCTCTCCTGCAATGCAGTTGCCCTCGTCCCAGGACCAGTACTGAGATGTTGCAAACCTCAGAGTTGCTTGTGCATGCTTCCCTGAGTTCTCCTCCTGTGGCCGCTCTGATTTGTTGTTGAACTCTTTGGGGTCATATGGTAGCTGGAGTAAGGAACACAGGTTGTATGCAGGGGCTTTTTCCACATACTCGTGCTTCAGTTCCAGCAGGAGAGTTACAGATCCATGGCAAACACACACCAGAATACAATCTCTCCCACCCCACATACCCCAGAAGTCCTTAGGGAAAGGCATACCCTCCTGCCCTCATCCTCCCTGTCTCCTCTTCATGGAAACAGAGAGCATGTATCCCTTTTAAAAGCAGTCAGATACATTTTCAGCTCTTCCATTTTCTGGCCCCTCGCTATTTGCTTGCTAAGGAAGTGGCTCTTCCAGTAGCAGTCCCAGTGTCTTGTCACGATAGAGCCAGGCTGTATTGATGGTCCCTGTTAGTCTTTCTGCTGCAAAAGTAGGGGGTTCTGATACATACCGGAACAGTTAAAACCCTAAACATTTCACAGAGATTAAAAAGCTTGCCACACCACTTTCCATAGGACTCTAGAACTAGTTTTGAGAGGGCATGGCCTGTTTAAGTGCAGCTGGAAGCTGATGTCAAGTCAGGCTTGCCCTGATGTAGCTGTGTGCATATCTGCCGTCTCCAGGAGGAAGGAAAAAGGAAACTTCTTGCCTGAAGGCCAAATGTCAGCATTTTTGAATGTTTCAGCTGACAGACTAATACTGGGGAACCCTTTACCAATTCCCAGTTAGCTAGGGCTGCTTCATAGTGAATGCTGGCTAGATAGTGACCCATGCTGACCATATCCAAATACTTTGAACCGCCACTAACGTCTATCTCAAGCTGCTTAACTGTCGCATATTCAGAGTGTTCCATTAGTTACAGGAAATGCTTGGTATGCCTAGTGGAATGTATCTGTGTTTATACTTCTTGCTCACTCTGTACAGTGTCCTGGCTTTTCATGTATTCATAGAGAAAGATGACTTCCTAACTTAAGCCTTTACTTCCGCCAAAATTTCCTGCAGATGCTCTGTCTGTGGCCAGGAGCTAGGAGAGCAGTTTGCAATCCTCCTTCCTTTCCAGTGGCTTTTTGCTGTGTTGGACCTAACCCTTCCTTCTCTCTCCCCTCTGTATTTTCCCCAGCCCTGTGGTACGTGTGGAGAAACCTGCTGTTTGCTTTGGACGGGACCAAACTTTAAGAGTCCAAGCAGAAATAATGGACTAATATTTTTTGCCAGTAACTAGCTATCAGTGCTGTCTCACTTGCCATTGGGTGCTTAGTAAAAGTAGTATCTTGAGGCGCAACAAGAAAATGGGGTGTCTTGGTGTGTTCTTTCTTGCTCTTGGAATTCTTATGTGAGGGAGCCATATACCAAGGGTCTTTGAGAAACTCCTTTTGGTTGCTTGAGGAATCAGACAGGCATTTTCATGACGAGAAATTGGTAGTAAATAGAGCTAACTTTAAATGCTTGACTTCCTCCTTCGCAAACCCAGCTATCCTTCTCCGGTCTGTGTATTCAGTAAAACACTGTAACACAGTACTGTTGGGTGCCATTATAATACAGCTGAATCTTTTGGTGCTTCTTTTTGTCTCATTCATGGAGTGCAATTTTAGTCATGTAAACTGCTTTTAGGTAGATCAGGACCTTGGGCTACATGCCAGTTAACTTTTCCAGTTTTTCAGTTAATTTGTGGCAAATAGTTTTTGGCATCTTGGGAATTCTCTTCATATCCTTCTTCAATTTTTTTTCTTCTGCAAAATATCTTTTTCTCTTGCACATAATGTCCTGGGTATTTTTGCTCCATAAAGCAGGCTAGACCCCCTGGGTATTAATTTCTTCATTTCCATTCTTAGGATGTGAAGATTGTTGCATTTCACTTGCTTTTGAAAATAGAGTTTGTAGTCTTGTTACAACCCTGATGGAGCCCTAGAGGATTCTTCTTTCTTTGCTCTTCCTGTTTTGTTTGCTTGAGTCCTTCCCATCATTTCTGTTCTAGTCTGTATAGGTTTTTGTGCAGTGCTTGTCATCGTGCTGTCTGAGCACCTTCCAGCAGTGCATTAACCCAACTGATCAGACATCTGTCACGTCTTATGTGTTCTCTTCTCCTCTTTCCCACAATGGTCAGGGGTGTGCAGTGGAAGTGTCTTGTTAAAATATATTTATATAACTAGACCTGTTGCTGTGTGTTTCATTAGAGAAGGCAAGGTCAAAGAAATGCACCTTGTACTTGGAGTGTGAAGTAGTGAGAATATTGATGGTTTTGGGACAGGTTCGCGGTCTCCTGCACAGACTAGCTTTACTCTTTTTGTTATGTTTGATAGTACCAGGTAATTATCGACCACGGTCTTCATCTCAAAGCATGAGATTTTCAGATATTGTGGGACTAGATCTTGGAGTACTTTGAAAATAAGGACTGAGACCTTGAACTTGTTTCTGTTCTACAGGAAGTTGATGTAGGGATTGGGACAGGTTCGCGGTCTCCTGCACAGACTAGCTTTACTCTTTTTGTTATGTTTGATAGTACCAGGTAATTATCGACCACGGTCTTCATCTCAAAGCATGAGATTTTCAGATATTGTGGGACTAGATCTTGGAGTACTTTGAAAATAAGGACTGAGACCTTGAACTTGTTTCTGTTCTACAGGAAGTTGATGTAGGGAGCCAT